GTATATATATATATATATATATATATATATATAAAAAAAACATTCAATTAAACAAAAGTAATAAATAATATTGTAAATTTATATGCTGTTACAACTTCAACACAGTTGTTCTTGCGCCTTTATCATAAATATGCATATCTGACCTATGCATAGATAAGGTTTGTAAGTTAGTGTTAATAATTGTAAATGGAGCCTCAGATATATGATGTTGTTGTCTTTTGAAATCAGTCAGTGTAATGTCATGTACCTATCAGATCAAAACATGTCCTCTGACCTCTCCATCGAGCTGAGCCTGCAGGAGGAACCTCATCCTCTTAACAACTCCCTCTTCATGGTGGAGGAAGAGGAGACCGATCCAAGGCTGCACGCAACCGCGCCAACAAGCAGTTGGTTGACTTCATCATCAGACGAAAAGTCGAAAGCCGCTTATTGGTATGATTTCTACTGATATATTCATAAATATATTTATAATTCCAGTATTTTTTTAATTTGAGAAATGTTCATTTCCATTGTGACAGACAAATGTATGCACTCTGAAATGCACAACTAATAGGGATGGGCGATATCTTATCGTTTGCAATATAACGGTAAAAATTCTCCCCATGATAAGAATTAGTAAGAACGATAAAACCTAGTTGTTGACATATTTATGTGTGCAACCGTGTGAAATGACATGGAATTTGAACCATGGAATTTGTTGCTAAATGAGGAGTTGCTTCTACAATCTGGAACTGGTTTGGTCAGGGCTGTACAGTGCGACAAAAAAACAGCCTGTCCAATGAATAAATGTACTACAGTAGCACATGTGCGATACAGTTTTGCATGTATATGAGCCTGTTTACAAACTTGCTGCGATAATGTATATGTAGATAATACTTCTCTCTGAAGAAACAGGAGGGTTTTTTTTTGTCTCACAGTGGATGCATATGAATTATTGTCATTGATATTGTTATCGCAATAAATACCGGAAAATATCGTGATATAGTTTTAAGTCCATATCGCCCATCCCTAACAACTAACCCTTCTGTCTGGTGCTCACAGGCAGTCATCAGCGGTCGCGAGTCCTCTAAATGGATGCAAGCCCTCCAGAAGCCTTCTCGCCCAGTGGTTGATGTCTACCTGGAAGATGAGGAGCAGGTTGATAAGGTGTACCGCTACCTGAACAAAGTCTGTGATAGCGCCCCTCAAATAAACACCTGCCTAGAAAACATCCAAGCTGACCGGATCCGCCTTATTCTTGATGTGCTTCTGCCTGAGGTAATCGCCTTCATTAACACTTCCTTTTGGGGTTAGTAAGGTTTTTTTAATGTTTTTGAAACAAGTCTCTTATGCTCACCAAGGCTGCATTTATTTAATCAAAGGTAATATTGTGAAATAATATGACCAAATAAAATAACTGTTTTCTGTATTTTAAAATGTAATTTATTCCTGTGATGCAAAGCTGAATTTTCAGCAGCCATTACTCCAATCTTCAGTGTCACATGATCGATCAAAAACCATTCTAATATGCTAATTCAGTACTCAATAAACTTCAGTTATCACTGTTGAAAACAGTTGTGCTGCTTAATGTTTTTATAGAGAACAATGATACAGAATTTTTCCCCCCAGGATTCTTTGATAAATAGAAAGTTCAAAAGAACACCAATTATTTGAAACAAAATCCTTTGTAACAGTCTTTACTGTCACTTCTGATCAATTTAATGCATCCTTGCTAAATAAAAGTATAATTTTTTTTATATCTTACCGGTAGTGTCTTAATACTTCGAACCAACCACATTCTAGCATCATGCATTGCCATGCTTCAGTGACAGTTTTGCTTTTTAGGCCATTATCTATGCCATTGCTGGAGTCCACAAGCTTTCCCTGGAGAAGGCAGAGGAGCAGTATCGCAGAGGGCCGTGCTTTAGTAACAGGTAGAGTACTTGTAAACTCACTTGCCCTGAAAAAATGAATCTTGCATCTGTGTAACTTGCAGCTGTTTTTATTTCATTGTGTTTTAGAGAAAGACAGGAATTTGACATGATGATTGAACAGCAGATGAAGCTCAAGGAAATCACCCGGCATCATAGGCAGTGACGGCCCCTCTATTTTAAACATACATTAAGTTTTATGAATAGGAATATTTTCTTTCTAATCATAGTATAAAAGAAAATTAGTTGAATTGAATGATTTTTCATGGCAAAAAAAAAAGTTTTGTAAATAACTTAACCTGATGTTAAATGTTTATTATCAAATCTCAGACTTTATGAGCTGAATGGTATATCTCTGACATCTTGATGCTTGAAGTCAGCAAAATCTGGTGCTTTTAATGTGTGCAGTGTATAATAAGTAAATGCCTTGTGCTAATACATAAATACAACATTTTAATAATAATAATGTGGTATTCCTCAGAGTAACACACACGTGGTTGCTACTTGTTTTGAAAATGCTTAAGTGTGTGTTTGGGTGTTTGTAACTAACTGAACACTGTTAAGCTGCATTACAATCAACATAACTGATGTCTCCAAAATGTGCTGCCTTTTTAGCCACCTGACAATTCACTATAACTTTTCCTTGCATAGAGGCTTTTTCTACACCGATGTACGAAAAGATGCCAAAGTTGTTGCATTTTAATGCAACTGAATTCTGGACTAATGTACATAAAAAAAAAAATATTCAGGACTTTGCAATTGATGTTTATCAATAAATCTATATTTTTCAACACATTATATACTCTGTGTTTTTGTAAACATTTACATAATTTGAAAAGAGTTTCTTTATATTTAAACAGTGTTGTGTAAATATATATATATTTTTTTTATACTTTGTACATTATGCACCAGCTTCCAAAAATTGTGGCTGCTCAGTTTCATCATTTCTCATTCTTCATAATCTGCCTTTCCAGTTGGTCTGTTAACTATAAATGTAATATACAAGATCAGAATTTAAAAAAAAATATTCAGGACTTTGCAATTGATGTTTATCAATAAATCTTTATTTTTCAACACATTATATACTCTGTGTTTTTGTAAACATTTACATAATTTGAAAAGAGTTTCTTTATATTTAAACAGTGTTGTGTAAATATATATATATTTTTTTTATACTTTGTACATTATGCACCAGCTTCCAAAAATTGTGGCTGCTCAGTTTCATCATTTCTCATTCTTCATAATCTGCCTTTCCAGTTGGTCTGTTAACTATAAATGTAATATACAAGATCAGAATTAATTTTAGATACTATAAAACTTTTCACCGAATGGAATGAAATCCAAAATAAGTATATCATGAAACTTTGAGGTATATGAAGAAGGTGTCTTCAGTATTTGTAGAATGGCCACATACTGATATGGCACTTTAGAGGAATCTGACTCTCGAATACTGTGTGACCGAATATGACCCACATACTGAGAGTGGAAAGACGAGCCTGTCTAATGTTCTTTGAGAGCATTGATCTGCGCACAGATTTTGAGCGCAGGGCCCAGTCTAATGTTCATAGCGCTCATGAGATGGTCCTCCGTAAGCAGCAACAGGGCCTGTCCGTCAATCTCCTGTGAGCAGAACTCTGCAGCAATATCATGGCACCCTTAGAGCAAGTGGAGGAGATTAGCACATGATTCTAAAGATCATACAGAAATCTATGACATTATGTTATAAATTTGGCGGAATCCATCCATCCTATCTGTATTGGCTGTATTTGATACAATAAAAAAAACATAATTTTAATATATTTTAGAATGTAATTTATGATGAAAAGCTGTATTTTCAGCAGACATTACTCGTTTTCAGTGTCACATGATCCTTCAGAAATCCTTCTAATATGCTGATTTGCTGCTCAAGAAACTTATCAATGCTGAAAACAGTTGTGCTGCTTCATATTTTGTTTTGTTAGGATTTGATAAATAGAAAAAGAACAGCATTTTTTTTGTAACATTGTAACAGTCTCACTTTTTAACAATTTAATGCATTCTTGCTGAATACTAGTATTAATTTTATATTAATTAATATTACTGTGTTCCTGTGGCTCAGTGGTAGAGCATTGCGTTAGCGGCGCAAAAGGTCATGGGTTCAATTCCCAGGGAACACACATACTGGTAAAAAATGTATAGCCTGAATATACTTTAAGTTGCTTCGGATGAAAGCGTCTGCTAAATGCATAAATAAATTAAATTAATTTCTAATGCTAGTTTTAAAAATATCTAATATCTAACTAGTATTAATTAGTATAAAAAAATCCAATATCAGCTTTATATACTAACTACTATACTAACCAGGCTATATAGGTTATACTAAAAAGTTAAAGCTTGAATGGAAAACAGCTTTCACACTTCACTCTACATTCAAATGTTTTAGTGACCCACTCAGCAGAAGGTGAACTGAGCTTCTGAAAGCTGTGCAGCTACCTGGTAAAGAGCTGATGAAGGAGCACACTTGCTCCACGTTCCACTGTGAGGGACTTGAGTCAAGAAGACAGTCAGAGCTGCTGCTGCTGCTGCTGCTCTCCACTGTGCTCTGTTCCCTTTCTCTGTCTTGCTCCTTCTCTCTTTCGGCCTGCAAACGCAGCCTTGTCGTCATCGGGCCTGGTGGATCCTCCTCCTCTTCTCTCTCAATCCAAATTGAATTCGAGACTCTCGGGTTGTTGCTGGTACGATGGGAGTCTTGCAGCTGCTGAGGAAATAATGTGTTACAGTAGGTCACTCCCACTTATTAATAATGCTATTGCACTGGATTGTATAGTTTGGTTAAATGGTTATTTGTTCGTTTTCACTGACCTGCCTGAGGAAGTGTTCCCTGGACCTGCCGTTTATGCGACTAGGTGGTCTCCCCCGCTTGCCCATGGGCCTGTGTGGCCAACGGCCAACTTTTTCTGAGCTAAACAGGTTCAGGCGCTTTTTACAGCTTACATTGAATCTGTGAGGAGTGAGAGATGAACAAGGCTGTGTGTGCTGCAGTGTACAATTTTATGAACACAAACTTGTTGAATTCAGTAAAAAAGTATGTTTATGTCAGATTGGACTGGCAAAAAGGCATATATCTTAAATGTGTTTTCATCGTTATACGCATACATCCTTACAGACATGAATATATGTACACTACTGTTCAAAAGTTTGGGGTCAGTAAGAATTTTTTTTAACAAATTAATACTTTTATTCAGCAAGTATGCATTTAATTGGTCACTGTTACAAAAATAATTTCAAATAAATGCTGTTCTTTTGAACTTTCTATTTATTAAAGTATCCTAAAAAAAAAAAGAAATGCATCATGGTTTCACAAAAATATTAAGCAGCACAACTGTTTTCGACATAGCTGACAATAACAAATGTTTCTTGAGCACCAAATCAGCATATTAGAATGACTTTTGAAGGATCATGTGACACTGATGACTGGAGTAATGACTGCTGAAAATTCAGCTTTGCCATCAAAGGAATAAACTATATTTTAAAATATAGAAAACTTTTATTTTAAATGGTTATGATATTTCACAATATTGCATTTTTTTTTTTTTACTGTATTTTTGATCAAATAAATGCAGCCTCAGTGAAACTTTTCAAAAACAATCAAAAATCTTACCGACCCCAAACTTTTGTTTCCGTATCACAAAATACACATAAAAATATGAAAATGGCAACCAGACTGATCTTACTTCCCTCTTTTATTGTAAGTCTAAGCAATATTTTAAAAAAAAAATTTCACTGAGAAATGTAATGGCACACTTCTCCTAAACAACCATTCATGTCTTTGACACAAATGGTACAGAATGAGTTGCACGCCAAAGTTCAATACTAAGGTTTAGAGCTTTACAGCAATCCTTGAACCTAAAGTACGAACAATAATAATCCCAAAAGTAATAATAATAATTCCACTGACACTAAAAACTACAAAAAGTGTCATTAATGCTACCCATAGGGCTCTTTACCTTCTGACGCATGTCATGGAGCAGAAGCGTTTGGACCTGAGGAAGGTACGAGCAAAGCCTCTCTTCCCACAGAACTCGCATTCGAGTACGTCAGGCAGGTTTTCAACTGTCTGTTCTGAAAGAAGAAGAGATTCTGCAAGAAATGCTCATATTGACATGAATGTGTAAATAAGAAATGTGCTAATGAGCCCACCATCCTCAGCAGGTGGGTTATCAATGTCGGAATCGGTGGAGTTCTCTGGTTGGTCCGCATCCATCAGGCAGTCATCCTGTGCTGATTCTCCGTTCTCTCTATCTTCTGGCAGTGTGGCCTGCAGGTTCATCTCTAAGGAAGCATGTCTCACCTGATGAAAAAGACCAGCACATCAATATTGGATCTACTCAGTTTTTTAGATGCTTTTTGTGGTTTCGACTTCAAAAAGTATGGAGCACTTTGTGAGGGGTCCCAAAGGGGACTTCAATAACTGGTTGATCTGAATGTTTGGTGGCAGACCCTCACCGCGCTGTCTTATTCTCTGCTCTCAGGGAGTGAGGGATCTTTGAGCTTCACAGCAACGCTAGAGAACCATGGACTTCATTGGGCCTCCTGGCAGCTGCGAATTGCTACGCTGTCAACCAGTGGACATTAGGGGGCAGTCGTGGCCTAATGGTTAGAGAGTCGGGCTTGTAACCCAAAGGTCGCTGTCGAGTCTCTGTACTGGCAGGGATTGTAGGTGAGGGGAATGAATGACCAGCGCTTTCTTCCACCCTCAATATCACGACTGAGCTGAGACCCTTGAGCAAGGCACCGAACCCCCAACTGCTCCCTGGGTGCCACAGCAAAAATGGATGCCCACTGCTCCGGGTGTGTGTTCACTACTCACTGCTGTGTGTGTGCATTTGGATGGGTTAAATGCAGAGGACAAATTCCGAGTATGAGACACCATACTTGGCTAAATGTCACTTTCACTTTCATACCGGGAACGGCTCCAGGCCTTCTCGGATGACGAAGCCCTCAATGAGGTGTGTGAGGATGTGTGTGGGCCGACCCTCAGGATTCCCTGGAAGGCTGGCTGGGGGAAGCCTGCTGGTGCTTCTTACCGCAGAGGAGAGGAGGGGAGGGGGGGAACTGTTGGCATATGTGGGGTCCTCTTGTGACCGGATCACAGATCTGCTCGATGGTATGCTCGGTTGGTCCAGATCAGCTATGGTTAGAGTAGAGGTCAGGTCAGAGTTCTGCAGAAACTGAAGACCACTTTACCAGTCTTTAATATATATATATAT